CTCAGTACTGAAGTCATTATAGGCCTGCATATTTTATCACATTGTTTTCTATCACATTTCCTAATAATGTAGATGTTCTATGTCTCCATTACAGTGTTGAAAGAATCCATAAGAACGTTTATAACATGGCCTATATGAAAAAACTGAGAAATGATAAGTGAAAAGAGTTGGGGTCAGTACTTACTGAAGTTTCCCACCAGCTGCAGAGATGTGAACTGCAACCTCAAACCACCAGCTGAGCGCTCTGAAATTGAGAGGACAAAAAAAAATAAAATACAGCCCTTCACACATAATCAAACACAGAGACAAAATTGTATACAGATGAGACAAAACATTATGAGTACCTGGATAATATTCTCCACATTGCACCTGATCCTCTGAGGCATGGACTCTGCAAGACCTCTTAAGGTACCCTGTGGTACCTGGATTCTTTTGAACCCTTAACTTTCCAGGTTTATTTAATACTAAGGCTTATTATTCAGTAACTACAGGGACTTAAATGCCAACCAATGGAGCTATTCTTGGATTATAGAAGTATGTAATTAAACTTTGGACCTGCTGGTGGGTTCATAGCTTGTTAAGGGTTTTAACATGTAAGTTGTAAGGTGGCGCTAGATCGGACTTGTTCCAGCACATCCCACAGATGCTCATTCAGATTGAGATCTAGGGAATTTGGAGGCCGAGCAACACCTTTGGCTATGTTCACATTACAAGCCTCATTGCTCAAATCCGATCTCTCTGGCACGATGGTTCACACTCATTTAGGTAAGTGATTCAAATCTTAGAGCGAGACGAAGGTGAAAAAGGTGAGATGTGTTTCTTTTCCACCGTTTACAGGCTTTAACGTCTGTTTGGTGCTGCTGCCATGGTAACGCTGAATGATGGCGCATGCACAGTGGAGAAAAAGCATGTGAATTCCGATCTGAGCATCACATTAAGATCGCATGGCCACGAATCAGATACGTATCTGATCTAAGACCACATATGAAAGTGGCTCAGGTCGGATTTGAAAAGATCAGATTTGCGTGTCCGCACAGCCCTGAAAACATCAGATCTGAGTCACATTAGGACAAAAAAATCAGATTTGTCCCACTTCAACCTGGTGAGGTGAATCACCATGTTCCTCAAACCATTCCTGAACAATGTGTACAGTAGCAGGGGGCATCATCCTGCTGAAAGAGGTCACTGTCATCAGGGGATATCATTGGCATGAAGGGGAGTATCTGGTCCACAATGATGTTTAGGTAGGTGGCACATGTTAAACTTACGTCCCAGCAGAAAATTGGCCAGAGCATCATACTCCCTCCACCGGCTTGTCTTCTTCCCATAGTGCATCCTGGTTCCATCACTTCTCCAGGTAAATGGGGCACACAAACCCAACAGTCCATGTGATATAAAAGAAAATGGAACTCATCAGACCAGCGACCTTCTTTCATTGCTCCAATGTCCAATTAAAAATTTCTGACTGGTGCCACAGTGGCCTCTCTTTCAGGTCATACCCCATACCCTGAGGCACTGAAACTCCTCGCTTGTATGGCTCTGCAGGGTAAATTATTATTAAGCATTTGTTTCCTTGCATAAGTGCAGTGACTTTTATGCATGCTATAAAGGGGAAGCCAAAACGTGGCCAAAAGTATGTGGACACCCCTCCTAATCATTTTCAGCTGGTGTTTCAGCTGCACTTATTGCTAACAGGTGCATAAAGTAAAACACCTTGGCAGTAAAATTAGTCGTACTGAAGAGCTCAGGGAGTTTAAACATGGCGCTGTTACTGGATGCCCCATCTGCCACAAGTCAGTTTGTGAAATTTCTGGACCGTAAAGATTTTCAGAAGAGGACCAGTCTGATGCAAAATAGGTCTGCTTACCTAAAAACAAATGCATATTAGAAGCCATTTTGCCTCCAAAGCATTTCTGAGTACTGAACATTTAGATCATGTAGATTGAGATCCAATCTAATATCAGTACAAAGGGCAAAAGACCTTGAGGGCTTTAAAAGGGTGCATCTGCAGGGCTGCAAGTGTGCCATTTTGGACAGGGCTTTAGATCTGAAGAATGTTTAATACACATAATATATTGTAGTGCTGCCACCTATTGACCTGCTGAACCTACACCAATAATTCAAACACTTTGAATCTACATCTTTGACTTTTGAAGCAACCAGTAAAGCAGTGTTCATGGAACTGTATACCGACACCTATCACTGGGGGTGATATGGAGTGTCTATAGTGCCCCGCTTCCACTCAATATAATTTCATTAAACATAAATATGTAAAGGTTCCATATAATAGAAATATGAGTTTTCCTCACTTTTTCAATGTACAATGCAAACATTAGAAACGTACCATTCACTCTCCATTCCAAACAATTCATATATGGAAAGTAAGATGCAAAAAGGTCCCGTGTTGAATATTTGTCATGAAGGCCAGCTCATTTAACCCCTTAAAATCCCAGGCTTATTATATACTCTCTTATTCAGTAACTACAAGGACTTCTGTGCAAACTGGCTGAGTTATTTTTAGGTTATAGTAGCATATAATAAAGCTTTCGGTAACAGTTTCTATGAATGTCACGTTTGTAAGCATCTATAAACACATATAACATGTTATAATGCATTCATACGGCATTATAAACATGATTATAAACATTTAAAAAATGAATTACACTTTATAGCCATGTTTATTATACATTATGAATTGTTAATATAATGCATTATAAGTAGTGTTGATAACATGTTATACTGTCAGTACCAAAGAAGTCAGTCCAAGCTTGGAGAGCGTAAAGACACATACCAAGCTAACGGTGGTGTATATTGACTTTCCCACATTGGGTACAACACTGATGGCAGCACTAGTTTAAAATCTGACATTTGAAGCCTGTAATGTGCTGTACTTTGTACGCTGAAGTGTTTCAGTAAATCCTTCAGTAAATACTTTAACTTGTAGCCTCACTCTGAACACTGGAGGAGGCTTTAGTACAGTACGCTTCACTTTACTTAGAGCGGACAAATACAATTTATGAGCTCTTATAATTTATGATCAGTACTTATAATGTATTATGTTAACAATTCATAATGCATAATAAGCATGGCTATAACGTGTAATGCATTTTAATAAATATTTATAGCCATGTTTATAATGCCTTATGAATCCATTATAACATGTTATAAATGTGTTTATAGATGCTTACAAAGGTGACATTCATAGAAAGTGTTACCAAGCTTTCTGCCTGTGAGTGAGCCCTCGCCATTAAAGAGCTTAATATACCCACCTATTCGGCCTACAGCAGTCTAGCTCCGCCCATTCATGCTGAAGTTATAAGTTTTAGCCCAGACTGCTTTTTGAAGGCACTCATTGAGGTACAACACAGGGCAGACAATCAGACCCAATCAGAGCTTATTTGCTTATATAAGTCTTAAAGGCACAGTAACAAAAACAAGGGATAAAGTGGGCCTGGAAAATGGCCATGAATCATGACTGCTTCTTGATACATGAACCCACTCCAATGTGGATCTTTGGGGAAAATGTAGGATATGTTGTATAATAACATGCTGGGTGTATATTCTTCCCTGTTGGGCGTGTGTTCCTTAACAGGGTGAAAAATAATCAACTGGAAGTACAGAAGCAAAAATTAGCTGTGCTAGCAGTTACCATTGTGCTAGCATAACAGTTGACCTTGAACAGCTTAACAGCTGTATCACATATATTGTAAAGGTTATGTAGAATTATGCCTGACAGGCTATAACATGAATGAGTAGAGCACAAGGACTGAGTCATAACACAGCAACAAATAGATAATCAAGTTAGTACCTTTTAAAATGTGATAAACAGGATTTCCTGTCTTCGTTGCAGGCATTCCTTTATCTTCAGCCTTTATCAAATGGTGATGAACTAACAGTACCACCTGTAACAGCTGCAGTTGGTTCACTTCACAGGTTTCATTGTGTGGACACAAGAGTGTGCTACAGCGTAACCTTTTTTTATTTTTTTATTTATTTATTTATGAATTAGCTTTCAAATGTAATATACAACATCATAAATATTTAGCAGCAGGTTAAGTGGCTTATCCCAGACTTTCTAACACTGTGCATGGCATGTAATACATTACGAATACATTTTTAATGTATTATGTAGACAGTATTCATTGGTGGTAATATTTAATATTTTCAAAGGCGAATGTTCTCTACGATTTTTAAATCAGTTTTCACATTTATTTTTAGAACTCATTTCATTTAAAAAAAAATGCAGTGACAAGGAGGTGAAACTTCCTGTCCTGTGTAGTCTCCATAAACCCTATGCAAAGAGACTGACCGCAGTCATGAACTGGCTGACCTAAACTGAATTGGGTTTATGAGGGGCTGCAGCAACTCATGGGTTTCAAGGTTTTGTCTTCAGTATTTACAAATATTGCCACATGGGCATAGAAGAAGATGTAGGAAACATTGCGTTTACAGGCTAATGGTGTAAGTGCCTTCTCTCCTGTCATCAGCTCCCGTGCTGTCCCTTTCACAGGCTCTGATGCTGAACGTTGTGACGCGGTTTACGCCATCATGTCCCAGTGAACTTTGTCTTCTTTGTCGCCTTTGAGTTTGTCAAAGCACTGTTTGACTTCTTACGGGCACTATCCCAACTCTGACAACAGTGTAGCATCGACATAGAAGACCCAGGAAGCATTGTGCTTACAGGCAAATATTTTTTTGCTGAACAAGCAGCAAGGTAAAACCACTAGCCCAGTGCTACTGGATCATAGGAAGACTGGTGGGGATTCACCAGTCTCACCAATAAACATACAACTTCATGGAAGACACTAACACCCACTCTAACAATCCCACAGCCCTGCAAAATAAAGCACAAATAACACACACACACATCTTAGACTAACATCAACAACTTAAACAATGCTGCAACAACAGCAGCAGTACCTTTTTAAACTGGAAGAGAGGCGCGCTCTGAGAGTCACTGCATGGCCACACCCCTTCAGCACCTTCTGCCTGCACGAAGCATGTGGTGACGCATGCTGAAAGATCTTTTTTTGTCTTAAACTGCTTTATTGCATCTCCTCAGTTTCTGTTCCTGTTCTCTTTTGAGCATCACTGTGGGGGGCCGTGAGGCAGGGTGTGGTGGCCTTCTGTTTTTTACCTTCAGAACATTTTCGTCTCTTTCAGAGTAGCATCGCAAGAACTGATACACAGGTAAGAACAATGCATGCAGGCATTATGTGCCATTTGACATAGAAACACACTGGTAACACTTTACTGCTACTGCTACATAACGCTGACATAACCACGCCATAATCATGTTATAAGAGATTCTGTTCAGTGATATTAAAATATAAGAGATTGTTTACATTTGGACTTTTCCTGCTATATGCTAGGTGTGCTAACTAACACTTGTCTTTGTTCTAAAGGGTTTTTGAATGGGTTAGCTCATTAATTAGTTCATAAATGGGTCATAAACAGCTGAAAAACATTAATAAGCAGTTATAACACATACATAAAAAGGGCAACAGTGACCAGTTGCTTACCAGATAGACTTTATCTTCTCCATTAGTCGGCATTGAACTTGTCAGCGCCATCACTTATTTATACTGATATATAAGATCTAATAGAAATATGACATCACTGCTGCCCTTTTGTGTTCTAACTGCCTATTACTAATTAATAATGTGTTTATTACCTGATTTTAATCTTATTAAAAAGCAGATCACAAAGATAGACCATACCTGGAGCAAAACAGATGTGGTTTTATTATTTTTTTTAAATGCTGCTTGTTTAGAACCACAGTATTTGAGGCCAAAACTCCTTAGCACCTAAAAAGAATTAAAAACTAGGAAGGAGTTTTGTGGACAGGAAGCAGTACGGTCACTAACCACATCTATTATTAATCAAATGTACTGTACACTTACTGGCCACTTTATTAGACAATGTCCACCTTGAGGGGGCACAATTAGAGACCGGAGTCCAGCTGCTGTTCAACGAGCCCGAGCTCAATCTCATCCTCGTCTGGTAGTTTGTCTAATTTATAGAGGTCTGCGGCGACTATATGCCAAGCGTTTTCAGACTTGAGCACAGTGTATTATGAGAAACATTGCTAATGTTTATGTGTCTACAAAAATCTGTGCGAGATATGAACAAAAATATGGTGCAAATGAGAACTTCTCTAGTTGGCCTAATGGTATGTTGCTTTTTTAGGACGGTCAGTTAAGGATACTATAAATACATGGACTGCGTTTCCTTTTAAATAGAGAACTTCTGTTCAGAATTCTGTGTAACTCAGGATTATGTTTAGTCCTTGTGTAAGAAAATCTTCTTGTTCTTAAGTAGACACAGCCAAGTAAGCTCTCCTATTGGTTAGCACATAGAAGCTGGACTGAACTTTAGGCTAATTTTGTGTAGTTGTTTTGTATTTTGGTCAATTACAATTACAAAATATGTATATAAGACAGTCATGCATGCTTTATGAGACACGATGCTACACAGATATGTCATCGTTGTAGCCTCTTAGGCTCCTTGGAGCCGGTGGTTCCAAAACGCACTTCGTCATATTCTTCATAACTTTCATATTTCATAAGCTACATTCAAAAAGTGGGTGTCATATGAGAGCTGTAACTGTCTTCTTTCCAGTCAAATAGATGGGTGATGTAATTTTAAACCCTTATAATAGAAGAAGCTGAACTCACAATTTTTTTTCTACTGAAAGTCGACCCATTTTTCCACAAATCTGGGCTATAAACTATAAACGGATGGCGTCTCTTCAGTGATCTGCTCTGTAGAAACTATTTTTATAAAATAATACAAAGAGCGTCTAAGATTTTTGGCTTTCAGCAGTAAATTGTAAGCATATAGAAATATGTGTGATCATAAAACACGTTCTGTTAATTTGAGGGGAGCTTTTACAAAAAAATAAATTAATAAATAAAAATTTACATTTATTTCATGCAGTGACTGAATAATTTGCCTTACGATTTGGTCATATAAATTCAGATGGACAAACCAAAATATACCCTGGAGAATATGAGGTTAATATAAACGCTGAAAGAATTTTGATATCTTCATGAATTTGGCCTTTATTTCGAAAAAAAATCACTCAGTTCTTCTTATTTATGTATTCTTTTATTTATTTTTTTATTTGCCTGTAAAGATATTTTTCAGAAGTCATAAGTTGGACTTGAGTGTCAGTGGGCTGAACATACAAGAATTTTGACGATGGTTCATTCTATGGCTTATTACTGAGAAAAAAAAATGTATTAGCATAAGGTCATTAACCATATTTTTTAGTCATGTTCTCCTCTCTTGGATTGCTGAGTACTAAGATTCTGACAGTCAGCAAAACAGGCATTTATCTATAAAGCCTATCCTGTGTTTATTATATCTGAAACCAATGGAAATTGGGCGATAAAGCTGATTGTTAATTTTTATTAGTTGCTTATATTTGATTATTAGTTGTTCTGATCGAAGTTACAATGTTGGGCATCCCCCACTGCACATAAGATAGATAGACCTCATAAAGTGGCCAATAAGTGGCACATGCCAGTATGAGCTTCAGTGTGTTTAATGGATGGTGATTGTAGGTCTGCTGACATTAGCGACTGTTGTTTTTGCACAAACCATATTTTAAGGTTAATATTACTTTTATTAATATAATTTTAAACACTCTTTTTAGCACCTTCAGCTGGTTGTTTAAGCTTGCTGCAGTAGAAGTTCTCATCTTGGCAGTCAGTCCATCATTTCTGTAAGTAGTCCAACCCGGACACTGTTGTTGTAATTGCTGCTGAAATATGAAACATAAGTATAATATATAAATATAATATATTCTTCACCTGCCATTTCTTTCACAGGACAAAGGAGGACTAATTTCTCAACTGAGCAATACGATGGCACACATCCTTTTCTCGGTATCCTTTAACCAAGACCCCTGGCCTGATGTTCAACAAGAGCGTCTGCCTGGTAAGATCAGACTGTCCATCTTCCTCATCGCTGGAGTGTGTGGGAGTCTGCCAGTTCTAGCTTGGGCTCTCCACGTCTTCTATCGTCACTATAACAGCGCAGGCCGAATCTCAGCCTTTGTCGTCATGCTCCTTCTCTGTGACCTGCTGGTGCTGTTTCTGACTCCGTATGTAGTGACAAATTTGTTGCAGGCTGAAAGTTGTTGGGATAATATGACCTGCAAGATGCTGTCCTCTTTATGGGCCGGGTCCGAAACCTATGGCCTTCACCTCCAACAAGTGGTGGGGCTGGAGGGCGCTCTCGCTCTGAGAAATCCAATCGCCTGGAATTATTCTTTCTTTCATTCCTGCTCCATCATACTCTCCATCGTTGCACTTCTTTGCTTCTCCCTCTGCGAGTTCTTCAGTGTGGACCACCTTGTACTCTTGGGTCTGCCGCTTCTTTTCACCATAACGCTGACGTCATGGATAGTCACCTGTAGAGCTCCACCCCACATCAGTGATGGCCCTTGCACAACATGGAAGTCAAGTTCTGCAGTGTTGGCTTTAGTCACGTTCACCCTGGTCCTGTATGTGATCTTTGCCAGCATGTGTTTACTTCTGAGGAACTACTCAGGACATTACCAGAATCCAAAGTACTGGAATCTGTGTGTGACGTGTTTATCTCTGATGAGTTTGAGGGTGGTCTTTGACCCCCTGCTGTGTGTGCTTGTCCACAGAAGGAATCTCAGAGTCCAGACACAGCAAAACACACACAGAGCTTATGATTGAGGTTAACAGCTCGTCCACAGCTGAATATTTGAGATCAGCTAGATTTTGACTGGTGCAGCTTTCTACATATTTACCTGATTAGACAACGTGCTGCATATTTAAGAGGTCAAGGAGCATTTCTCAGTTTCATCGTCTCACATAATTAGCGACGCAGGAAATGACCAGTTCCACGGAACATCAAGTATAGAATCTAATTATAAAGATATGCCTGAAACAATATAGAGCTACAACTACACTGTAATTTCTACCATAATGTACTACGTTCAAGCCAGTATGATAATTTGTGTTTTAGACTTCTATTCATCATTGCTTGTTCGTTTTTGGGAAAACATTTGCAGAACAGACAGATTGTACTGTATCAAAGACCTTACTTTACTACTACTGTAATATTATTGTAACAACATTGTAATAATACTTCAAATCATCAGCTTTACTGCAAAACTGTGCAGTGTTAAAAGAGCTGCTGAGGCGCATTAACATCTGTGAGTAAGTGTAACAAGTGTATACATAACTAGTGATAGTTACTTAACATTAGCCTTGCTAGCTAAAGCTTGCAGCTATCTAATCGTGCACTAGCTTACCTAGAACAATCTGTACCATCATAAAATGAAGCACGGGTTATTCAAGTGAGGTCAGTTTTACTTTAACGATCCTTTTTCTTTGTTCATACCTGATTAGTACTGCTACAACAATGCTAATTTCAGCTAGTGATGGTATTCCTTCTCTATGGGATTTGCATTGTCAAGCTAACGGTGGTGGTGGGACTTTCGGAGCTTGTAAGACATTAATGTAACACCTAACTGTGGGTAATATCTTTTTTGCCTGTTATCTTTGCTTGTATCTTTGGAAAAATTTGGATATTTTACTCTTTAAAAGGTATTAAAGATGCAATTTAATGTCTTGAACTGATGTCTTAACTCTTTAATTTCTTGATGTGTGTGCATATATGTATAAAATTCAGAAAAAAGGATAATGTTGATTACAGTAGTAAACGGTTGTCAATATGAAGTCTTATACAGAGTCATTTTTACAGTATACGCAGCTTGAGGCCTAGTCAGCATTAGAAAAGACTTTTAGTGGGGAGGTGGGGGAAGTCATGGTCTTTAAATTGGGACTGTGATTATGGCCTGTAATGTAGGTGGACCCCTTAAAAAGACTGAGGGGAAGTACATGTCTGGTATTTGTGATAGATAGTGAGCGTAGGCTTCTTCTAAAAAAAAACTTTGTCTTCTAAAATCTTCAGATGATTGAGATTTGTTCCTTTATTTGCAACATGCAGTAGAAGAATCCATGAGAAATCACCTGTTAAGGAGGAACATGCTCAATTTAGCAAAAACAAAAAGATCTTTTATTTACATGGAAGCTCAGAGCATAAAATTGGAATCCCATCAAAACTGCCACTAAGTTGGTTTTAAGTGATTCACGCTATTCAGAAGACATTATTTAATGGAACATTGCGCAGAATCTTCAAATAAATATGATATCATATTTGTCAGTATTCAGTGTGTCCTCTCTTTACCTTTTTTACAGCTTCCCTTCTTTTCAGGCGACTCACTTTCAAAGAAATCTGCAGGATATTTTTCCACATCTCCACACTCTCAGAAATAAAGGGACTAAACTGTCAGTGGGGCAGTGCCCCTCTTGTCACTGGGGTGGTTCCCTCAAGGGTACATCTTTTTCAGTACCTTTAGTCAGGGAACATAACTGTACCATAATCCTCTGAAATGATATTTTCTAAGCTGTACTGACACAGTGCAAAGGTCAGTCTTTGGTTGGTTGAATTTTCGTATTTTCCTTTGACTTCCTCCATCCTAATGCAAGTGGATCGTCTCATAAGTCATATCTAATCTTCTTAATATTGATGACTTGCACATGACGGCAGTTTTGACTGGAAATGAAGGATGCTCTGTGACATTTGCAGAAAAAAAATGCAGTGTGGACATAAAATTCTGCTTTCATCATTGAAGGTTTGCTACCATTGTATTTGTTAGAGATCCCTTTGTATTTGTGTAATTAAAAAATATTGAAATACCATTTATAAAATGTGTGTTTAAAAGTTCTATTCAGTATCAAATTTGAATAAATTACATATATGTATGTCTACCATTTGAGATGCTTAAGACTTAGGTTTCTATTGTACTGATACATACTGACATGGCTGCTGTTGGTGATCCACACATGCTTTGGGCTGCATGTCAAATACACCGTGTAAAAGCTGGCTGTGTTTCAGGTCTATTTATGGCAATTTCCTGTGGTGCTGATTGCATGAGCTGATAAAAGCTATAAATGGATGCCACTCTAGACAGGACACTGTTGGCAACAGTCATGTTTCAAATGATTCACAGTGAGCATCACTTCTTTCCCCAAACCAAAAACCCTCAAAAATGCTCAATGTCGCCAGTCGACAATGACAGCATTACTTCTGATTCAACACAAAAAAGGGAGGACATCCAAAAATCCCCATTGCATCTCTCACACAGAACCCTCGCAAGGCTTCACAGTCTATATGCATAGGTACAGAAGTCACGCCCATGTAAAAACAACGCATCTTTGTCTATTGTCTCAACTTCACTTTTGAACTTGTTGCGAAGGGAATAGCTTGTAGTGAAACGCGATAAAATATTATATTAATTCTGGTTCATAACTGAAAAAGGTCACACAGTCTTTCCATTTCTTAGGCCGTAACTGGAGGAGATGATGGCACCTCAGACACAGGAGATGATGACTGTGGAGATCATGACTGTGGACTCTATGGTGGATTAGACTTGTAAAAACACATGCAACAGTGTAACTACTAACATCTGCGCCAAGTTCAGTTTTTACTTATGTAATTACACCAATGTGTCCTAATAGTTGCAACAGTATATTTTCACTTATGTAATTACACATGGAAATATGATCAAATTTTCCAACAAGACTTTTCTTATTGTTGTAGGAGATGTGTTATTACCTATATTATGATAGCACACTGCATCTGTATAGGAAAACTTTCCTCATGTCTGAGACACTACTCTAGATAAAGGCTCCACTGTAGATCATCTGTAGATTGTTGCATGTATTTTTAGTTTAGACCATAGTTATTGGACACAATATAAAGTGGAACCAAATATCTGTCTAAAAATGTGTTAGACTGACATATGACTCATGCTGTGGGTGTGAATTTGTGGCAGACGTAAAAGACCCTGTGCCCACGAAAGGAACGAAAGCCACATGTCTGTCTTCAGAACCTGCTTGTTGCTGGCGTTTAATTTGAACTTTACCGTGACCTCACAGAGCAGCCGCTGGACTTGGTTCAAGTAAGGTTCTAATGGGGTACAGTTATTTAGTAGTGATGGGACTTTTGAAACATCACCCTTTGGTGACATCTGCTGTTGGCTCACATCACTGACACATAAAATGTTCTTAATATTTAAACACATACTAGCTTGGCAGTGTTTTTCAACTGTTTGAAGCCATCAATGCTGAGTGCAGCACTATTGACTCTTCTTTCTGTAAAAGGTTGTCTGCAAGTTCACAACATTTAAAGACATCGAAGGGAAAAGCTCTTCTATACTAACTCGTGTCTATTGTTTATTTCACTAAGGATTTCTTGTTATGACCTTTAAACGATGAATGTTTTGCCATTTTGGGCTTATTGCAGATATTCCTTTCACACTTTCAACTGGCACTGTACTTAAAACAGCCTCTTCTTCCTACGTCAAATTCAACATTTCTCGAAACCCCCTCCCATGTATGGAAAAATTGGTTTAGTTTCTAATTCAAATATGTAAAAAGTAATTTGACATGCTGAGATTCTAATTACATGTTTGAGTTGATTTTATTGTGAGCAGTTCCAGATTTTAATCCTACTTTTCAATTTTCAGTGGATTTTACAAAATCACTTTACACATGTGAGAATTTATTTCTAACAAGTTAAAACTTTTTACTAGTTGACATTTAATATTTACTAGTGGAATTTTCATTTTCACATGTGCAAATGGAATTTTTGAGATGATGAAAAATAGGAAATAAAAGGTAAAATTGTAATTAAAATTTCAGCATGTCAAGTTAATGTTTAATTGAATGGAGACAAGCCTACCACATGTAACACTTTAGTTCACGTCAGTGAAAATTGTTACTGGATGGGTTAAATGCGGAGGTCTAATTCCGATGTGTTTAGACACAGTTGGCTAAAAGGTTCATTTCATTGAATTCATTCATTTCATGACTTACAATGAAAAATATCTGCTGACTCTCCAGAGTAAGGAACTGAGGTGGAGCTGGAGGTGGAAGGGGCCAACTTACATTTTCATTGACCTGGTACATTCAGCATGTTCCCATTCAGCAGTGTTGCCAGAACTGCAACCAGTGTACTGTTTCTGAATCAGTTACCAGCTTGTGCTCTTATGGGCCACCTTTAACCTAAACCTTTAAGCCTTTAACCTAATGTGGTCTTGGCCATTGATTTCACCATGTTGGAACAGTCTGGTGATGGTCAGGGTACCAAAGACCCACACAACGCCCAGAGATGTTTTTTGCATATAACTGTGCTTTCTTTAACTGGTTAGGATAATGTAGAGCACATATTTCTGCTATTTCGTTCTCTATTTTTGTTATATTCAATAAGCCTCCAATAGCGAAATGCTACACACCCCCCTGTTCAAAGGTCCATGGGGCACCCGCCAGTCCTCACTTGGGCCACGTTCTCCAAAGAATGGTTGGAGGCATTAGGTACCAAAGTATCTAAGGTAACCATTTAAAGAGACTTACATTGCTATGGCCTGAAAAGCTGTCCTGCAGCCCTTTCTTGAAAACAGAAAGAAAAAGAAAGACTGAAGTTTTCAGGTGATCACCAGAGCAAAGATTTAGCTTTTTGAGGTTCACCGGTCAGATGAAACAAACATTAAAATGGCCATAATGATCAGTGCTGTGTATGGAGGAATAAGCTGTAAAAGGACATCATCCCAGCTGTGAAGCATGGGGGTGGTAGCATCATGTTGTTGTGGTGTGTTTTGCTGGACAAATGGGCTGGTAGGAAACATGAGGAAGGAGGATTATCTAGAGAATAAAGAAGCAAGTCAGAAGGTTGTCACAACTGGGTCGTCCAGAAAGACAATCCTAAGCCTTCCTCCAACGTTGGAAGAAAATGGCTTAAAGGCAGAAAGCCTGACCTAAATATCTGACCAAGTTACTCAAGTTTTGGAAGGACAGTATTGTGAGAAGCTTGTGGAAGACTAAACGAAGTGTTTGATTCAAGTTAAGCAATTACAAGGCAATGCCACCAAATTCTAACAAGGTAAATGTAAACTTTTGACTTCTCTCAGATATTATTTTGAAAAGACCATTTATGGAAATCAAGTACAGACCCTAATTTGAGTTTGAATGTCTTTAGCCTATGTAAACTTTAGAGTCTCAAGTGTCAGTTATTCCTGAAAGGTT